CGAAGTCATCAGTTTTGTAGAGCTTGAAATTCTCTATCTTTTGATATTCAGGGCATTTTTTTCATAAATGAAAAATGAGAGAAAAATGCATCAGAATTTAGTGCAATTTATCTTGGATCACCCGTTAATTTGACAAGTATTAGTGGAAAAGGCTAAAAAAATTCTGAACTTTTGTATTTAGTTATCGGGACGAACAATCAAATGTAGCTTAGCAAAAGATAACGGACGTGCAGCTGAATTTATACGTAAACGCGTCTATAGTGATAAAACGAAATGCTATGAATGTGGAGTAAGTATTTATTCAACTTTGTTCCGTCAGTAGTAAAAGAAATCATTTGTGGTAGCTGATCTGGATGAATGTAGTTTTATCTTAAATGGAGAATAAAAAGTGTCTTTAAAAGAATACGTTGTAGTGTTGTCCTACACAGAAAATCGTGTCTTATTCGCGAGTCTTACAGCAATCATATTACGCGCCATCACCGCAAATTTTTTTAGCACTTCGCATCGTGACGGATGATAAGAAATTTGACTTGGGCTCTCTATGAAAATATATTTCTAGATGTAGTTTTTATTCAGAAATTAATTTGTTGTTCCTACGAAAACGGTATCTCAGTAGATTGAAAACACTGTCTACAAAAATGCGTTACGTATTGGTCTGTTTTGGAGTTCGCGAGAATATACTTAACTTTCTATGCGAGATTCAATGATGAAGCCGGATAATTTTTAGAAGTGGAATGTTTTCAACAAAAAAAAATCTATCAGAGGTACTGTTAGATGATTTTTGTTCATCAATTTTTGGAGACGATTGCTTCCTGCAGAATATGACACCACCGCAGACAACATGACTGTGTCTTAATTGAACGATCCAGACGTGTTCTATAAACTCATATGTAAAAGTTATAAAAGTTAATCAGACTATTAGGCTATATGTTGATATGCATAAAGACATTCTCCAGAAGAAAAGAGATCATGGAAAATTCGCATTCGCAGCGAACTGAATTATTCTTTACTATTTCGGTATGCAGTGGTATGCAACAAAGATGCCATGAGAGTGAGTCGTGATCGTTACCTAGCCTAGATGATGATCTGAACTGGTAGAAAGCAATAGAGAATTCGCAAACACCATATACATCAATACGCATTATTATCATGATAATATTGTTGAGAGAAACGTTATCATTGAACATTGTGCGGTTTTGAAAAACATTGTTTTCCTTCAAGAAGAAAAGTTCAATAACAAGCGAATTTAGGAAGATATAACGCTCAAATTTTCTGTAATATTAGCAGACTATTAGCGAAAGTACAAAAGTAAATTTCACTCCTTAATTCTTTGTTTTGACTGGGTTCTGAAGACTTTGCCTCGTTGGTGAATGCAATTGTTCTGAAATAAGTATTTCAACTAAAAATTCCAGTAGAGTTAACTTTTCAACGAGTAATACAAAATTCAAGATACTATCTATATTTTAAAGTGAGCTGCAAAATGTTCAACCTGAACCCGACCCGACAACATCTTAACCCAAACCCGATCCGACCCTAGGGTTAGGTCGGGTTGCAAGTCTCTATTATCATCCAGGTTTTGAGATGAATCATGGCCTACTGATCCTGGTTTAGAAAAGTAAAATTGAAATAATCTTAAAAAGATTATTTTCTAAATAAAATATGTACAGAAAACAAGTTTGACTCGTGTTAGTTATCAGTAATTCTTCTATTTGTTACTGTGTTTTGTGTTGATGAGACTAATTCGCTATCGTCCGTTTGCATCCTCGGTTAAGTTAGCGTCTTTTTCAAATGTAGCTTTTTCTCAAATGAGTTTGGAAAGGATGATCAGATTATTTTTATCGTTGTTATTCTACGATAAGTTATGGTAATTTTGGTGTTTTACTTGAAATGATTGATGAATTAATATTAATACTAGACGATTTCGACGAATAAGAAGATAACGTCTCATCATCAAGAAATTCTGATTCAGTTTTATTTGTTGTTTTTAATTTTAATAATGGATATGCGTTACAGTCACGAGCTATGAAATAAATTGAGTGTGATGGACTTAAATCATGTGGCTGTTCGTTGTTGACGGATCGATGGGTAATTATAGTCTCTTGTGGATTATCAGTTTTATCTAAATAACGGCATAGAATATACATAAATAAGACGAAAAATAGTAAGATGCTACTAAACACTATTGTCAGTATATAGCCCAATTTAGATCGATCAATAATAACTGTGTTGTGTTTTGGTGATGACTTTGTTTGATCCCTGGTGATTAATCGAGAAGGAATATTTCTTATCAGTATAGAAGTTTCGTCTGAATTACGTTTTGTACGTTTTGTAATTATTTGTTGCTGTTGTAAGATGTTTGGAATACTACTACTAGTTGTAATTAGTCTATTTTCAGTGAAAGATAAGATGCTGGAATGAATTAATTGGCGTTTTATAATTTTATCTTGGCACTGATTTAATAGACATTGTATGAATAATATTAGAACGACTATGAATAGAGATAAATGATAAACCATATAAACAAAGAATTGTCCAAAAGAGAATAGTATGATTGTGGCACTTGATACTGCTGCAGTTTTTCTCGTTGACTTACAAAACAAGAACATGTAGATCGAACTGCCTTTATTGTTTTTTTGAACGTTAGCATAACAAGATAAAAAAAACTTTTATAAATATGACGAGTTCAGAGAAACAATTAGTTAAATTAGGATGTTAATTGACGACGTCATATGTTTATTAACAAAGATAATCAGAAAAGAATATATTAGAAAGAAGATAAACAATTGCAATAATACAACAACAACATTTTTCGCATTGTTCGTAAAATGATGCGTGCGCGCGCATTTAGAAAAGAATAGTTGACGTTCATCAAAATTATTTTTCATTCAAATAAACAAAAACATTCTGAAATTTTATAAATAAGGTTTTATTAAATATTGCAATATTCCCTTTCCATCAAATATTCGAAAACAAATAGTGTCAAAAAGCATTTTCTTTTGGGAATAAATAAAAAAGGAGGTTAGCCACTTTTAACTTTGTCCAATGAGCTACAGTTTAAGGCCACCCCCTAAGAATGAAATCTTTTTTTATCAAAAAATTAATTTGGAGACAATCACACAGAAAGATAGCCTGGAATGTCTACTTGCAGAATATGTATCACTTTCGGACCGGGTCTAAAATAGGCTTGGAAGTACAAGGGTTAATAATGGTTCATCATAGAGAGAAATTTTTTTTTAATCGAAAGAGCATGAAGCTCTCCGAGGACTGATGGGAGCAGATTTCTTAATTAGGCCTTAGTTCCTCAGGAAGAAAGAAACTTTGGAAAGCTTCAAAGGATCCTTTTTAGGATCTTGCGTCTCTAAAGAACCAACAAAGGCCTAATTAAAAAATCTGGTTCCATCAGTCCTCGCAGTTAGGTGTTTGGTTTAAAATAAAACTAACCGGAGATCTCTATCTTGAGCTGTACTAAGAAAAAGGGATTTACAGTGAAAGGTATCTTTCGGCCTTGGACTAGAAATCTCCGAAACGGTAACAGATAGAGGGTAAAAAAAAGTATTGTGATCACACCGTCGAGTGTGCAACATTTCTGGAAAGTTTGATCAAAATCGGATGTAAGACAAAAAAGTTTTATCTGAGGGGGGTCCTTAAAGGAGAGTGTCTATCTCTTACGTAGTGAGATGCCCTATTAATCGGTTCTTCCGTAACATTTCTGCCCTATTTATTTGACTATAGCTTATCAATCATCTGACTTCAACTGAACAATTATGTTCTTCAACGTACTCCCGAGAACGGAAAAACATTTATTCTGACTAAGTATCGATCGAAGTGAAATATTGATTTTTTTTCATCGTTTTCTGTAGGAAATGGGTCATTTGAGTTATTCTTGTCCAAAAAATTCACTTGGAGCTAGACAACCACCATCGAAGAAAAAATCAAAGAAAAAAATCCAGAAGCAACAGCAACCACAACAATCTTCCCAGTTAGAAGAGAACAAAAAAGCCAACATGTATGTTTCTTTGTAGTTGAAAATTCGAACTGACTCACTTTTTTTCTAAATTATTAGGTTTTTGGATGATAGTGACATTGATGAAGATCCTGCGCTAGATACGTTGGCATCGGCAATTGCCTATCAGGTATATGAATCTATCTTGTTTAAAACAAGGTCTAATGCAAAAAATATTGAAATTTTCTTTAGCAAAATTTGACATCAAATGACACATCATCAAATCAAACAACACATAAACGTTATCGTCAAAGTACATATTTTAGTGATGAAGAAGATGTTTTGGATTGATATTTGTCCACTGTTAATAATTTTATTTTGTAAACACGTACTGTAATATTGTATAGAAAAATAGTCTGATATTTTTTGTAATTTGTTACAAAATAAACGCAGTTTGAGCATCGTTAAAGAAAAAGCTCAAACGAAATCCTGTGATTCGATTGAATTAAAGGACCAGAGACATACATATTTCAAAATGGAATGGATTTTTTATGGGGAACGACATACAGTATTAAAAAGATGATTTCTCACCCAGTATACAGTTTATCGTTCTCGCAGCTGAAGTCTAAGATAATATTTACTTTCTTTATTCTAAGTGTATAATATAGATAATTTCTTCAATTTCGCTAGGTGAAGAATATCTTAGATGAGTGTGCATCTCCGCTTACCACTTTTTTTTAAAGTAATCATATGGTATTGTTACATTATTGTAAACTCTATTCTTGGAATTCACATACGTTACAATATCCTTTTCAAACATACTTAGACATAAAGAGTGAGCTACTCATTCAACTTTTTAAATTGTCTGATGGCTTGCTGATATAAAACTGAGCAATTTATTTTATTACTGCAGTAAGGCATATCATATCACAGTTGCAGTGCTTCTCACCTATGCCTTCATTAAAACTTTGACTGGAATACTTCCGTGATGAAAAAACTAAAACGTTAGTACTCAGTGAGCAATTATAAACAAAAATATTATAAGCGCTTAAACACTTTAGCGTGAAACTTTAATATTGTGGTACGTATACCGGTACATGACACAGTACTCAAGAACAAGGTTTGGAGAATTCCTAAGTACATCATAGTAGTACCCACTGGGAGTCACCCGGAGTTATAAATCGATTTCGGGTTGGGACTATTTTTGTTAGAAAGGCTCTAGCGAGTAGTGAAATATCCCAACTTGGTTCATCCCCATGGTGCTTTGTTACTGAGATACTGGCTTTTTAGTCAGTTTTTGCCTATAGAGCTTGGATTTCGAGCAAAATCCGACTTTCGAATTTTTATTATAAAATTGCCACACTTGCAGACCATGGTCATAGTAATACGACGCAAAAATATTCGATGCTAATGAATTTTTCTGTCTTGAAATATTGAGGCTCGAACATTTCACCAGAAGGTGAGGGTCAAATGTTCGAGTCTCAATATCTCAGGGCAGAAAAATTCATTAGCACCGAATATTTTTCCGTCGTACTACTATGATCATGGGCTGCAAGTGTGGCAATTTTATAATAAAAATTCGAAAATCGGATTTTGCTCGAAATCCAAGCTCTATAGGCAAAAACTCACTAAAAAGTCAGTATCTGAGTAACAAAGCACCATGGGGATGAACCAAGTTGGATATTTCACTACTCGCTAGAGCCTTTCTAACAAAAATAGTCCCAAGAATTTTAAGGTTTGACGTGATGTTCTGAATACTGTCTGAACCGATTCTAGAGAAAGGACGGGGGCGATTATCTGATGAAATTGACCAATGTCTGAATTTCATCGACTAATCAAAGGCTAGATGTAGAATGAAGAGGGGAATGTTTCTAGATACTTACTAGACCTTAGAATCACTCTCAGAAAAAAAAGAGTCGAATCCAATTTGATTAAGTTTCTACGTATCTGACATATCTTATAGATCGTAGTTCTGGATCTTTCTCTCTCAGTTTCTCAATTCCTCACGACTATTATATATCATTCAAAAGCTCTTTTTCTTCGCTGTATTTCTGTATATCACATACACGAAAATAGCCGTTCTGAGGCCGAATATGTTTAGAAATACTTCTGGCTATCGAAAATGATCTCCCCAATGGAAAAAGTCTCAGATATTCCATGTCAACGATTTGTCTATAGGAGATCATTTTCGATAGCCAGAA